CTAGGAAGAAAATTAACTCTATCCTGGCCAAAACCAGGACAACTGCAAACATTCAGTTAATTTTCCAAACGTTTCCTAAGCATTCTGGTCAGTTTATCTTATGCTCCTGTCTTAGCTGCACAAGAATATAGTTGTCCTTTATTAAGGGGGAGGGGAAAATGGAAATGTTTGAAGTTTTCATGGTTTTATTTTGGATTTTATTTCCTATGGAAGCAAATCTTTGGAAATGTAAGCTGTTTCTCACCAAAAAAAAAAAAGGAAGGTAGGAAAACTAGTCACTTAAAAATGAAAATAGAACGTTTCTGTCACTGTGAAGCATCGGAAGGTCAGGTTTTCAACTTCACACTCTTACTCAGGATGGGAAGAGGGAGGGAAGCAGTTTTCCATACAATTACATTGCGCAGTCTTCCAGGGAGGAAATGATCTTTTCTCTCCTAGCCGTTCCTTCAGTGTGCCTCCCTGAGCTCTTTTCCTGAGGGAGCAATATTTGCACGTATGTGTCTGTGGTCCTTCTGGTTTTGTTTTAGCTTTGAAGCAACCCCCTGTCTGTGCTGTGGAGCTCAGTTACGCAGTGTGTGACTTCTCAGAGCTGCCTGGGGTTCTAGTGGTTCCCTAAAGTTGAGTGGTGTGGGGGTCTGTGTCACCTGACTGATCTTGTTTTCTGTCAAAGGGAATTAAAATTGACTGTGGCTTCTACTGAAGCTTTGGCCTCTGTTTTAAATGTTGACTATTAAGATATCATTATTGTAACCTTCAACAAGGCATTTAGCTAAATTTTCTTATGAACCTTGCAACAACAGCTTTTCATTTAATTCTACCTTGACTTGTTTGCAAGTATGGTTATTTGCATCTTTAAGTTCAGTTTCCTTCATTGCTTTTCAGTGCGTTCAACGTGCACTTTTTTGATCAGTCGATTTACCACAGCGTAGGAAGGCTACCAGAAGCACACCATACTTTGAAAATATAATACTGATAGTAAAAAAGTCATGAAGTTCATAATAATACATTTTTACAGCATAGTAGCCTGGACAAACGGAGCTTGAATCTTTGTTGCTTACAAAGTCTTCAGATATTTTTTTTGAAAGCTTTGGATACTTCAAGTATGAACCTATAAGTTTTTGCAATAGGTTTTTTGCAAGGTAAGTGTAAGAAAATAGGCTTGTCATATGCATGTGTAATTTCCTACAGGCTGTAAAAACAGAGAGAGGTTTTAAATGTCTCCTTTTTCCTTTGGCTTTAGAAAGGGTTTTGGAAGTTTGCCAATTTGTTTAAAGAAGAGCCTACTCAAATACCATTTTTATCTGCTATACAAGCACGCATTTCATTTTCATCTGGATGGTCCACACCTAGAAACAGATTAAGTTTCTCCCTGTCAGGTGGTATCTGTATCTGATAGAAAATAAGTACTCTAAGTTGCATCCTATGCTAACATCTGTAAACTTGCAAGTTATCTTACTTTGTAAAAACAATTCCTTACTGATGCTACAGAAATGAAAAATGTCTGTTCTTAAACTGTGATTAGGTATTTTATGTAGGAGAGAAGGAGGAGGGACAGTGTAGCTTCCTTGGGTGTCTCAGATCACATATAAAGGAAAGAAAATCTAAGCCTAAATTTATAATGGAGAAGGAAGTAGAATTTTCATACTTTTCCTTACAAAGACTTTCAGAAAGTATGAGTCACACTATTAAACCTTCTATGAACCTACTATTTTAAGAGATTATTTTCTCTAACATAGTCTTGACATTTTTACAGGCCTTTGGTAGTCTCAAGCCCTTCGTTTTTGTAGGTAAGTATATGGTATATTTGGATCAGAACATTAACATCCATTTGTGGTAGTTCTTCACATTTAGTCACTATATCAACCCATAAAAATTTGACAGCTACATAGTGATACTTCCTATGACAGCAGATGTTTTTGGACCTTTACAGATCATGAGTCAAGTTGAGGGACAACAGAAGAATCTTGTACAAGCCATTGAAGCTCTCCCAAGTTCTGGGCCCCTTTCTGCCTTGGATCAGGACTTGCTGCTTTTAAAAGCTACCTCTGCTGCCACCCTGAGCTGCCTTGGAGAATGCCTGACTCTATTACAGCAAAGCATGCATCAAGTGGGCCAGCATCATAACAGGACACTGTCATCAGGTGAGCACAAGCTCTCTTGGGTATTATTTTATGTGCCTTGGGGTTTTTTATTATGATACTGAAGCAGGCAAAATTAGCCATTCCTCAGATAGGCATGTTGGGGTGAGTAGCTTGTAAGGTTCTACAGCCTCAAGTATCATAATTTTTTTTCTTTGCCTAAAAAAAGATGCAAAATCTATTGAAATCAGAAGAGAGGAGGAAAAGAGGTTGCCCTAAGTCTTCTCAGGGAAATCAGGTTCTGATGACAGAAGGCAAATAAAAAAACCAGGTAGATAAGTCTATATTCTTAATGACAGTACAGAACCTGCTTGGTTGTTTTGTTTTGCTTTTTTTTTTTTGAGATTGAAATCACAGTACAGATTTGTTTGATAAAAATACATGTAATATTACACAATGCTACAGTGAAAATCATATTTCTAGTTTTCTACATGGAAAATCTGCTGAGGCAGATTTATTCCAGTCTGTGGTTTTCTTTAAATCTGGAAAGAGTTCTCCGTGCTGCTATCTGAAAAAAAAAAAAAAAAAAACAACAAAAAAAACCAAACCCAAACCTGTGGCAAATTTTTATGAGCCTAAAATGTCAAACAGTGTGATTCTGCATTGAGTTCTGCAGGTATGAACCTCTCAGTCCCCATGTAGCTGAATTTTTTTCTGTTCACCCAGTTCGACATCTCTGTCCATAATGTTGGAAGTTGGACCTTTAGCTTTCTGAAAGGGCGGTCAGTGTTTTTTCCATACACAAACTGCACTGTCTAGTCTAAGAGCAGGAGCAGGACTTTGATATAGAAGGAGCAGCAGCAGCAGAACTCTGGATATGTGGTGGGTTTTTATGTTTTCTTCAGGTGGTTCAACAATATTCCCCTACAACCTGTCCTTGCTTACAGTAGGTTTACTACAGGGCTGGATATGCCCTCAGCTAGGGAGGAAACCCTCTGAAGAATTCCCATTGTGGGGAGAATAGAAATGTGGGAGGGTCGGTGAGAAGTAGGCAAACGATATAAAAACAGTTCTTGGAAAAAACTGTAAAAACTTTGACACCTATGCTATACCATAGGACATATGTCATGTCTTTCCTGCATCCAGATTCTGAAATACTTCATAAAGGAACATAAATAAAAATTTTTCTTATTTTCTGTAGCCTGTTTTTCTTGTAGAAAATGCAAAAAACCCTTGCAAATATCTAAATTGTAATGATAAAGTGCATTTAATTTAATTCTTTTGATATAATTTCATTTCAAAAGAGAATGGTTTGGACCAAAGATGAAAAATATTCTTCAAAGAAGAGTCACTTTCTAGTGTCAAAATCCTTGAAGGTTGGTTTTCATGTCCGTGTGATCTAAGTGAACTGTCAGAAATAGATGACTTGACTTTTACATGTCCTTGAATCTGTGTCCAAATAATCTTCTGTTAAATCAGTGTCTGTATTTTGATTTGATAATGATTTTGAAGGATCTGTGCACAAGAACAGAGAAAAAGCAAACGTAACCTTAGTAATTGCTGAAAGGGAATCCCATATCCTTTTTGGGGGAAAAAAAAAAAGTGGAAAGCCATGACTCTAAAGTACTTAATAAAATTTAATAAGTGTTTTTGTTCCTCCTAAGACTTTAAACTTGTACAAGAATCCTTTCAGAATTAAAATTCTGTAGTACCGGTTCACACCAGCACCTTTGGTATAACTGTGAGAACCTGAATGCAAACAGTTAGTTCTTCAGTGTGTACATGTGGTACATTCTTTGGTATGTAATTTAAAAAAAAAAAGTAATCAAAAGCTGCTGAAATATTTAGTCTCTTCTCCCTGACTGAAAAAGTCTGTGAAATGATTTTTTTTTTTTCTTCTCCTTTTCTTTTCCCCAGGCCTTGTTATGGAACACAGTTGCTTGAAAGAATGTGGCCTACAAATCTTGATTACTGATTTTCCTACACACTTATTCTTGTCCAGGTGTACTTTGATAGACTTAACATTTCTGCTGAGTTGGTAGAGTTTGAGTCATCAAAGCTGCATAAACTCATACCTAATCAGACTAATGCCTTTAAGAAATCCTCTAGCAAACTCTAATTCTGAGAGAATATGTTTCATTTTTATGCTGTGTCCTCCAGGTGGTGGTTTTTTGGTTGTTTTTTTTTTTTTAATTTCATACCCAGAAGATGCAACCAGAAGATGACCTTTACTGTCACCTGTTGGTACTGTCAGGTGAAAATGACTCTTGTTAGTTTAAAAGCCATATATTCCTCTGATGGGAAGTCCCAAATGCCTTTCCCATGCGATGTGATGGCCCCATGCAACTTACTGTTAAATGTTTCCATCCCAGTGCTGTTTCATTACCTGCTGCGTAGTGTCCAAGATGCTAGTGGGCATTGCGGGGCAAGATCCACAGAATTTTGTAGAGAGAGGCAAGACAGGAATTTGATAACTTATTTTCTTGCTTCTAGCTTACAGTTTGTGAAAGCAGTCCTGTCCAGCAAAACAGCACAGTCCTGCTCATGTGGAGCGTGAGAAATGATCAGTGGCTTAGCTTTGGTGATTCAACTTACCCTTGAGTTTACCTTCCTTCAGCTTCAAAAGCTCTCGCTATTATGCCATAAAGGAGAACTGCCTGAAAAGTAGATATATATCTATTTTCTCTGCTTTCTCTGTACTTTTGCTCTGCTTGTGTCCTTGAAGACTTTATGGCTGATTATGCAAGGATTGCTGACTTCTTCTCTGTGTCCCGTAGGCCTTGCAATCTTACTGCTTCTAAAGCAAGGACTAGCTGAGAGTTTCTGACCTAGTACATATGAAATGCACTCGTGAAAATTATAATTAAATAGTAGCTAGTTTAAACAGATTTACAGACCTTTATTGTTTTAAACAGAAAAAAACCCTCTCCTTTTGATGTAAATATTTTTATTTTTTTGTTTTCCAGTAATGTGAGTAGAAAGCAAGCAGCTTGGCATTCAGTTTAGTGCAATCTTATCCAGAATTTGGGATTGTGTAGGTCTTGACTTAAAATATTTTTAATGATGCCATGATTTTTTTCTCTTCATTTTCATGTTTCTCATGAGTTGTCAGTCTTAGACCTCAAGCCTACAAGCAGACATGAATATCAAACTGAAGTCTTCAATCTTGTCTTGAAGGGTAGTCAACACATTTTATTTCAACTCTAAAGCTTCAAGGAAGAGTTTTTGTGATTGTCTTTTTTGTTAGTGCTTGATTTTGGAAGTGCCTCAACAAGAACAGTCAATGAAGCAAAATCCTGTCTCTGTTTCTACTTTTGAGTGAAAATAATGTCAAATAATGTAAAAGTCATTTCTAGCTGTCATTGTTAGAGGTATGTGCATTGATCACTGGCTAAATTCTTTGTTAACTTTTGTTCTTTCATTGAAACATATGCTGGAGAAGGATATTAGCTGAAAGTGTTGGCTACATATGGTGTGAGTTGAGGATGAGGGATTGCATCTGTAAACCTTCTTTGGGTTTGGGAATTTTGCTCTTTTTGTAGGAGGGAGAAAAATGTCAAGGATTTTCTTATTGGCCAAGAATGTCACCACTGAGGTACATGTAAAGTATTTGCCAATCAGCATTAAGTGCCTTGTGACAAGCTTGAGTTCATTTAGCATGCAGACAGGAAACAGGTGCCTTTTAAAATAAAAATGTGGAGAAGAAACTTTTGTCTTCAATCTTTAAAACTTTCAGTGTAATTTTTTCCACCTGTGTAGCCTTTGGCAGAAGAGTATCTCTAGAGCCTATTGACTGCTATGGTTAACATCCTTCCCTCCCGAACTGCAAACATGGACGTTTCTTTTAAAGTAGCTTTACCAGCTTATGTTGTGTTTTTTGTCTGTGTTTTTTATTTTAGTGTTTTGGCAGACAGAATCCTGTTTTGTAGTAGCAGCCTGCACAGATAAATCCGTTCTTTTAGTCTGCGTTTCACATTACCCATTCATTTACTGAATAAAGCATCTCCCTGATAGGAATTCCCTCCTATATTTTTCTGTTTCTCACTTGACCACTTTTCCAAAGTGTAAAATACAATGTTTCTTTTTTCTGTGGATTTTCTAAAACCAAAACCCAAACCCTTCCTTGCTACGGATTTTCTGAAGTTCATTTGAATGTGCAAATGCTGCTTATTTTGTCTCCCATGGCAGTGAATGGATTGAAGATGATTATGGGGTTGGGGGGGGGGGGCAGGGAGGATGTACTTTTGAACTTTATTTTAGCAGATTCTTTGTTGCCTCCTTTTTGGAGAAAATAAATGGACAGGAAAGACAAAATCTAGATGCTTTTAATATGGTGACAGATGACAACTAGGGATTCTCCTGCAGCTGAGATGGCAGGAGAAGAGAAAAATGAGCAGAGGAGTCCTCTTCCTTGGTTAACCTCTCCACACCCCCCAAATGCTTGTGGGCAGGGAAGGGTGAGGAAAGAAGACAGGGGAGAACCTATTCTTTGTTACTGGTGTAATTTACTAAATTTGGCATGGTCAGTCAGGTCTCCCTTAAATGCATCATCACTAGACTTGCTTCTGTCGAGAATGACCTAAACAATTTGCTGTTCTATCTAAATGCTAATACATTATTCCTTATATGTTTCTCTTTCTTCGGAAGAGAAATTATTTCCTAATCCCCGCACAGCATTAGTAAATACAACGTAGTCTTTCTAATCTGGAAAGCAGATGTGCAGCTGCCACTTGCTGTTGCTGGTTTCAGCCTGCTGTAGGATTCAGCGGAGAGACTAAACTGTTGCATTCACCCCTGGCAGGGGAAGGAGTCCAGACCTGATCTTGGTCTCTCCTCAAGGCCTACTGTTGCATTGTTAAGGGGATATTTGTAAAAGTATAGTTACAGTATATTGTAAGAGTTCTATCAATAGATGTTAGCTTACAATTGTGCCAGGAAAAAACATAATTTTTTTTTAAGTCTATAAACCAAGACCAGAGGACTTAAAAATAGAAAGGTTTTTGTTACAGAATTGAGGGAGGCGTTAAGCATCATGCATCAGTTATCATGCAAAAATGTAGTTTGAAGGTACATCAGGTACCTAGAAAATCAGAACCAACAAAATAAAATTATCAACATTGCTTAACTGAAAAATCTCCTTTAAACCACCTCTTTGGGGAGTTTCCCTCCCTCCTGCTGTGTGTACCTGTGAAAGGAAAATATGTTTCTCCCGACGGCATTTGTGTGGGATGCAGCCTATTGTGCCATTTGAAATAGATGGGATTTTGTGAATTGTAGCATTGCTATAGGGAAAGGAGAGTAGGTTGTGTCTGGATGCTGTACCTTTCTTAGATAGAAGCATTCTCCTGCGCCTTGGTGGATTTGTCTGCTGTGTGTTCATCACAGTGGAAATTGGTGTTGAGGGGAAGCGGGAAAGAAGCTCATTTTTATGAGTATTTTCTATAAGTTTTCTATAAGTCTATAATATTTCTATTTCTATGGATATTTTCTATAAGAACTCTCATTTTGTGTGTATGTATGCACTGAACTTCCAGAGGAATCAGGCTTGGGTTTTCACTCGTGCAACCACAGAACCAGCACCGCGCAGGTAGAAGAGATCTGGCTGATTTTACTAGTTGTGTGTTTGGTATGTTCTTTCTAATTTTTGCATAGTTTACTGCAGAAACAGATGTTTTGTTTTAATTAGTGTAGTGCTTTGCATAGTCTTAAAGCAAATAGGTAAGTAGCTGTGTAGCTGTGAGTGCTTTTATATCATTTGTGACTGCCTTTCTAGATAATATCTTTAGAATTATGAAATGTATCAAAATAAGAATTGAATTTACTTTTCTGTCAGCTGTCTTTGGCTGTGACTGAGAACAGAACAAAAATCTGGCTTAAAAACAAAACAGTGACAGCCATTTCTTCCTATTCTTATCTATCAATGAAGATAAACTTTCTTTCTCATAATATGTTTAGTTTTTTATCTTTTTTTTTTTTTCCCCTTCTTGAAGTCTTTAAAAGAACAGGAATTGAACAAGTGATGGAAAATTTTGAGTGTCATGAAGTAGCAAAGATGGCAACTCCATTAGAGTAGCATCAAGTTATTTACAGATGGCAGCTTAGTCTGTGGAGAGTAAATTCCAATAAATAATTTGATTTGATATGGGACAGATTCTTGAGAACGTTTTGGACATACAACTGATAATGTGAGTGAAGTAGGAGCCATGTTGTTGTGTCCTTTCACGTTCTATATAGAGATTGTATTCTGATCTTAGTTGATTTTAAGGTTATTTCTGATGAGTTCTCTCTTCATAGTTCTCTTTTGCCTGAAAAGTAGGCTGCTGTATTAGGTATATGGCAACTCCTTTGGGGATGACATGAGAATGCTGACATCTCAGAGTAAGATTTGTAGATTAAAGATCATCAAAGGTTCCCTGATGGTACTTTGAAACTAGGCATGGAATTTTTTCAACTTGTTCAGAGAGCTGACTTTTTATTTATTTAGGTTTCTGTGGCCTATAGCTAATATCTTTTACTGCGTATGTCTTTTCCGCAAAGTAGTCAAGTTCCAGGCAGACAGAATTTAACAAAACAATTTTTCTCTTATGCAGTGGTATTGAGGAAACAGAAGTCCTTTATCCTTTGGACCTTAACTCTTGGCATCCTGTTGGTATTGGCTATGTCATAATGTGTTTTTAAGATCCGTTTAAAAATTGATTAAGCTGACAAGATTTGTTGTTTTGTAAGGGTAGCATTGCCCTTGGGGCAGGTGGAAAAACATGCTCACATAGTTTTAACAGTTTCTATTTCTGTAAGAGAGTCTCTAAACTGTGTGGAGAAAGATGAGGTAAATAATCTTTTTATGGTGTGTCTGTACTGAAGAGGAAAAACTAGCATAGTGTTTTTAAAAATATGTAAGTGATGGTGAAGTAAATGCTCATACTTAAAAATTTCCCCTGAAGCGAGGTATGTATTCAAGTGGGAGCTTTTTCTTGTGCTTATTCACAGAAATTAGATTTTTAAAAAAATATATTAATTAAAAAAATAATTGTTTGCAGTGAAGGCCAAATAGATTGTGTGTGCAGAGAGAAAATGGATAGCTCAAGGAAATGATCAGATAATTATTTCCAAAGACTGGCATAAAGAGAAGTCAGTTCAATTTTTTTTTTTTTAGTCTCTCTGTAATAGGAAAATAGCAGAAATAATCCAATAGTCAGCTGTTTGACAGGGAGAAACAGAAAAATAGGTGGAGATCTGTTACTGAAAAGTAACGAAGAGCAAGAAGCATAGGTATGCTGCATAAAACTCTTTGTGGCTATTCAAAAGTGAAACAGGTTTATTTTAACTTCATGCTTTTGTTTTTCCTCTTGGAAATCTGTACTAATTAACACCAAAAAGAGTAAAAATTTTTTAACGGTTTACAGACATGTGAATTCCCTCCAAGGAACCAACATTTTTATTTGAAATTTTCCAGTTTAGTTTTATTGTTCATGCTGATGGTATGCTTCCTTCCTCCCATGCAGTGAGAGTCCATTTCCCTGCCAAAACAGTCTTCAGATTATCCTCTGAATCAGAGCTTGTCTTGAGGAATCTGGGGTTATCCTTTGTTCCTATCAGCAAGTTGCTGAAGACCTGAGGAGCAAGCAAAGAATTGCTATGACTACAGTCACTGTGCTCTTCATTCCTGTGTATACATTGGCATGCATAGCAACATCGTGTGTTGATTTAACCCCATATTTGGAATGGGGGCAGATACTAGCTTCCTGATGTTTAGGATCAATGTGTAGAGCCAATCCAAGACAATGACCTTTTATTTGATAGTTGCATTTTCTCTCACATGGTTGACATAACTCGACCGGGACTTAAAATGTCTACTGGCATAGTCCTCAAAGTCATTGAAACCCCAAAAACTTTGCAGTGTGTGGCCTGACAGCAGAGCCACAGAGATGTTCTTCCTTTGGCAATGGGAAATTTGAGTAATTGTGTGAAACACACATTTAAAAAACAAAACAAAACAAAAAAGACCCCTAGATTTTTTTTTCCCTTGTTCATTACTCAGATCTTTGATCATTTTATACTTATTTGCTTATGCTTTCTTCAGCAAAAGATGGTGCCACAAAATCACACTAAGCAAGTAGACCTGAAATTATGTCATGTCATCATAACTTAGTGCTATTTTAGATGGAAGGAATTTTCTGTAATTATTTTATCTTTAGAATTTGATAAAAGGTCAGCTACAGGATTTGTGACCCAATTTTTAATAATGTAAGTGTTAATATAATAGTACACAGCATTACCTCACCAGGTCAAACTATTTACTTTAATTAGGAGGCAACCCCTGGTGATACGGATAGGAGAAATTGCATGTTCTTTCATGCACTTTGTGTTGATTTGGGTCGTCTTAAAAAGTTGTCAGTGATGAGAGGAGATCTTCCCTGTGGCACTAATTGTATTTTCATATACAAATTATGGTAATGACTGAAGAGCTGCAATTTTCTTATCTGTATCTCTGCATTTTATAGCAGCATGTAATTAACAGCTGAAATTTAAGCCCTATCCTGAGGGCTACTGATTTGAACGTTGATACTATGTTTTAGAGCAGTAAGGGAGGAACAACTGTGCAGTCGCCTTAGCTGATCATTTGTTCTGTCTTGGCATCCTTAAATACTGACCTATCCTGGAAATCAGGTGCCCCTGGAAAAAAGGGTTGTTCTGATGTCTAGTTCTGTTTGATTCATATTTAATGTATATCTTTCTAATCAGACGTCTTCTAAACTGTGGTCTTGGAACCAGTAAAGCATTTTAGCACTTAATCTAGAAAGAACTTTTAATAGTACAGACAGAAATAAAATACAGCTGCTAGACTTAAAACTCTGATTTCTGGCAGATGAAATGGAGGGTTTACTTGGATAGCTTCATAACTATGAAAACAGTGGATAGAGAATACTTGCTTAGTTACCAAGGTGTGCCAGATTATACAGTCTTTATGTATAATTCTATCTGGTGGTAGGAGTAACATTTTAAAATCTTCCTTCATTGATTTTTTTAAAAAAATATTTGTCACAGATAAATTGGCGTAGAAGATGCTAGAGTATTTTTGTTACAAAGTAAAACTGTGCATGGAAGCAGAGAAGAGGTAGCAGTTCATTTATATTAGTAGAATGATGAGATGAATGGAAGAAACCTGTAATCTGTCTCTTGTAAGTTGACACCCATTTTCTGCTTCAGAAGGTATCCTGGGATGGCCTGGGCCCAAGTCGCACTCCACAGAGCAACTGAAAAATGGTGCCCTCAGCTCCTTATCGTCTGCTAGTGCCAACATTACATGGGCAATAGTACCATCTGCAGCCCAGGATGGACAGGCACTACAACCAAATACAGAGGTAGGCATGCTTTATCTTGCTTTCTATAGGCCATTTCTGTTGTATCTATGAGACTTGACGTTGGTTAGATGCAAACCATGTACAATGATGGATGCTTTTATTAAGTACTCACTGTACTTTTTTCTTTATAGTATCCTCTTTGTTTGAAATCAGTTATGAAAATGCTAAGTTTCATGCAAAAGTGCACTCTAAATACTAGAAAAATATGTTGACAATATTGTGTGCTCTTGCTTCTCTGAGGTACTTTGGACTGTGGCAAGCGTACAGTCTCTTTTCTAGTCGTAAAAGAAATTAACAGACTGTCAGTACACATTTCTATCTTCTGGTGACAGAAAAAGCTGTTTTTTATGCTGGTTTGGGACAGAGAGGAGACACTAGGACCACAATATTTGCTTGCTACTTGTTCTTCCATGTTGCTGTTTGCTCTTCGGTGTCTCTCGCGTATAGCTGACTATTCTTTGAGTTGAAAAACTATATTGTTTTCTGACCCCTTTTCCTGTTAAGTGATTATGGGCAGAACTTGTCCACATCATCTTGCACCAGCCTGTTGATTTGTGCTTTTGTGGCATTTACTTGGTAAAGGGCAGTTCTGAAGCATCGACTCTTTGAGGAGGCTCACAGCTGCGTATCAGGCATCTCATGCACTGAAAGTCTCTCACCATGCCAAACTTCTCCAGCTTCTACTGTCTGCCTCGGTTACCAGTGCTGCCCACCAGGAAATACTTCACTCTGAGACCCACAGATTGTAGGGCACCTGGAGAACATGAGACCTGGAGAACTGGGAAGAAGTTTTTGAGAGCGCTGAAGAAACCCTTTTCTACTAGTGAATGCTCTTTGGCAATTGGAATGGCTTAAATGAAATTATATTGCCTTTAACAAAATGTGTAATGGCTGGGGACATCAATAAAGCTGTTTGTTTTTCCAGTTCTTTCGTAGTATCTTGAATTGAATAGAGTTCAAAAAATCCAAGGATAAAACAGCTTTTTTTTTTTTTTAATTTATGTGTTACTTTGGTCCTCTTCCAGATCTGTTCTTAGAAAGTAATTTCAAATTCTGTTACTCATAGTGTCCATTAATCACAATGTTTATATTACCTGTAATTGCTTTTTATTAGGAAGTTGTGTAATTTTCAGATAAGCCAGCTGCAGTTCTTATAGTCTGTTTTTAAGACAAGAGGCAATTTAAGAATATTGTTTTGGGAGTTACTACTTTACTCACTGATACACTGCAATTATTTCATTAGGGTTTTTTAGATGGTTTTATTCTTGGCCACCTGGTAAAGCCAAATGGGATGTGGAAGCATGGGCTTTGCAGCAAGAACATAAAGAGCAGCAGCTGATTTAACTCATCTCAGGGTATCATTTTACATTTGAGTTGAGCCACTTATGACTTGTTTTACTGAGTTGTGCGTGTGACTTGAGGTACTGCTTTGTTTGTGGAACTCATGATTTATTGAGAAGGGAGTACCCTTGAAGAGGTGGATATAAACAAGGGAGCATAGCAGTGTTTGTAGTACAGAATCCTCAGCGTTTTGTGGGGAATCTTCCTGAAATCAGCAGCCTGCATCTGGAGGCCCTGGGGCACTAGCCCTGAAAAAAGAATCAAAAGGGGGGGGGCAGAGAATAAATAAGATTTTTAAGTTATAAAAAGCTCAGCTGAAGATGGTGGTTTTTGGCAGAAGCAGTAAGTGGAAGTTTGTGGATTGGTGGAGCAACAAGAAGCAGCTGGACTTAACGTGTGTAATTTTTGTTATGGTAGTACAGTTTATTAAGCAGAAATTTGGTTTTGCCCTGAGAAAGTGGTCTGAATCAGGATTCATTCCTGGAAGCTCTTTCCAAACCTGCGTCTTCCCTTCTGCTGAGTCCTTCATGTTGTCTGAGATTGATACTGTTGGCTCACAATTTGAAGTGCTTTTTTCAATGTAGCTGATTTATTTTTCAGTTCTGATAATTTTGATCAAGATACCAGTGCCCCATTGGAAGGCTGAAGCACAAAACCTGAATTAGGGAGGAGGTGAACAGTTGCATCTAACATAAGCTGGAGCTTTTGTGTTTCCATATTCATGTTCAGATCAAGCAAGTTCTTATGCCCCATTACAGAAGCTACACCTCTTGTCTGCTGTGGTCAGATCCTTTTCTGGGAGCAGAGGTGAAGTTTTCCTAGAGTGCTGCAGGTTCTGCCCAGCTGTCCGAGCTGAGCGAAGTGTCAAGCAGGAAGCTGGAGCTGCTGCTTCTTGTAGCTAGAGAAAGGAGGGTGAGAGAACAGCCTTTGAAGAAGAGAAAAATCTTTTGAGCAGCATAACTGTTACCCTGCTAAGGATGCTATATGAGCCAGGTTAGTCATGCAGGAGATGTCTGACACCCACCAAAGTTATCAAAGGTGTTTGACTTAATACACTTTAACAATTCTGTGTGCAGGATTTATGCATATTTAAATACATTCTGGCCTGTTGTGTGTCCAAGGCAGGAGTCTAGGTTTGGCACTGAGTAGCCAGTTCATTTTCAAAGGTATAAAAGCAGTGACTGGGCTAATTACTTAATATGTGTAATTATATATAAAAGCAACTGCAAATCATCACAATCCGCTTGTTTCGCAGTCCAGATACATTGTTGTTAATAACTGTGGTGGTATCAGCAGAGAATGAGAAAATGCATTTAGATGTCATTGTTTGACAAATTTTTGACATTGAAGATCCCGATTTATTTGTTTTTATTTATCTGGTAGCTTCTTTTAGATGTAGAAGAAAAGAAGAATCCACATGTCTCATTCAAATGAAGCTTGTTTCTCTTAATGATTTTCTTTCAAAAAACCCCAAACTAGGCACTAGATAATCCTCATCTCTGAAGAAGTTGGTAGTCTCTTAATGGAGCTCAGCTTTCAAAATATACCTGCCAAAAGAAGTGAGCCTTGCTTTTACAGATGTTCTGAGAAGAGGGTGCTGGTTCCTCTATCAGTGCTATCAAAATTAATTCCAGTTTCTTCTTTGACTGGGCCTAGATTTTTATTTTAAAAAATCTATACTTCTTACGATATAACCACTATCTCTTACCCCAAAGGAACGGGAGAGCTCTTTTTGGCTAACGGTCAGCATAATATAGTAGATGTACCGACCAAACAAGTTGTGAATTGACCTGTAGTCTGAAATAGAAAAGGCCATTAAATTACTACCCTTGAGGAACAACCAACTCAGCTGCTTGTAGAATGTTATTTATAAGGAAAAGATAATTTCAGGTACGTGGATCAGCAGTGATTTTAAAAAGAAGAGAGAGATGTTTGTTGTGTTGGGTGGGGGGAGGATGACTGCTGAGGAATCTTTCCCATATAGCAGGCTGCCAGTGGCAGCAGTTTCCTGGCAACATAAGCGAGTGGCTGAATGTGTTTAGTGATAGCTGTGTTAATTCTCAGCGCAGCATGTAGACACTTTGCAGCAGTGCATTAAGCGACATCATTAACAAACCAATGACTTGTTCTCTGCTGTGTTTTTTATATGCTTATGAAGAAGCATGGATCTTTATAATTCTCCTCTGGAATAACGAGGCTCATCTGATGCAATTTTCTTTGAATACTTAAGCATTCTTGAGTGATATAGTAAGTTCTGGAGTTGAGTTTTGATGCCGTAGATAACTAAAGGAAAACCTTTCTTTCTGGTCTGTTGCACTGTCAGGGTTTCAGGAACCCCTGGTGAAATAAGGTAGCAGCTAAAGATTCTTCTCTTTAGGTAACATCTTCACTTGCTTTTGTTACTTAGGGTGTTTCTTGCTTCCAAATGTAGGGATATCATTTGAGATACTGCTTAAACTAGTTCAGAAAATAGAAGATTTTGTGGCAGAGATTGTTTTCTTTTGTATTCCTTGCCTATTTTAGCATGTCCTCTCATGATGTTGCTGTTCCGCTGTTTTGCCTTCCCAGATGAGTTTTCTTTTAGGGTTGTGATACAGTACAGCATGAAGTTAAAGCCCGTTATCTTCACTGAAAAAAGTACCCCTGACAGTGAAATGCTGGATCAAGCACCTTTGTCTTTTATTTTTCATACTTCTTTTTTTTTTTAATAAGCTTCCAAGTTTTAGTTGGTTTCCTTTTTTGGATTTTTTGGTCTGTCCACCGGAAACATCAGGTAGAAGCAGAGATAAGGGCTGAGCTGAACAGAACTGTTTTCCATCTGATGTGAGTTGGTGTATAATACTTTTGTGCATCCCCTAGTGAACCACTTTGGACTTTTTGGCATAAGCTATGTTATAATTTCAAGGTGTTTTTAGGGTTTTGCCCTTAAAGCAGAACAGGACGGATCTGGTATGGAATATGCCAGAGTACACTCTTCAGAGCTGTGAAGTGAACTTGGTCTGTGTCCAGTCTGCAGTAAACAGGACCCTGCTTCCTTCATTTAAGAGTTTATAATTTTGAAATTCCTTTCAAGAAATGCTGAAATTGATTAGTTTTAAAATACGGAATCTCATAGTAAATTCAGTTGTAATAAACTTGGTGCCTCAGTAGAATAAAGGTGTGAATCACTTCCACGTGTGAGCTACTTTTCCAGTTCAACTAATTGTCATTTTGGGTGTCAGAATTCCCCTTCTGAGCTGAGAAAATGTAACTGCAGGCCAAATGCTTCCCCTGGCAGCCAAATACAAATGGGAAACAGGCTGTTCTTATGCAGGACCTGGGAGGGAAGGAATAATTTTCTTTGGATCTAACAGTGTAGTTAAGAATTATTACAAAAATCATGCTGTAGCTACATCTGCGATTTAGCTCTCTTCGTGTGATTTTTATGCCTTAAAATGCCATGCCTGCTGATTCTTTCCATCCTGTGGATCTGGTATCTAATGCAGTCTCTCTGCTTTTCTGTCCCTAACTTTTCCTTGCTTGTGTGCATAAGAAACTACACATGCTCCATATTGAAGTGTCTTTTTAATAGGATTGAAGTTTTAGCTCTGTAGGGTTGAGGCTTTAGCTCTGATTATCTAACTGCTAAACCAGGTTTTAATTGTGATAGTGATTGCAAG